TTAAATTCCAAAATTTAATTTGGAGATTTGTAAACCGCAATTTTTATTTGATTTAAATAGTGTAATCGATACTTTTGGACCGCATATGCCACGTCGATGGTAGCGAAGGTGTTAATTTGGAATTCTGTGGAAGTATTCACACTTTTTGATTTCTTAAATTCCAAAATTTAATTTGGAGATTTATGAATTGCTATTTTTATGCTAATTAAATAGTGTAATGCATAGTTATCGGCCGTATATGCCACGTCGATGGTAGCAAAGGTGTTAATTTAGAATTCCATGAAAGTATTCACATTTCCTAATTTTTTAAATTCCCAAATTTAATTTGGAGATTTGTAAACCGCAATTTTTATTTTAATTAAATAGTGTAATCGATACTTTTGGACCGCATATGCCACGTCGACGGCAGCGACGGTGTTAATTTGGAATTCCACCAAAGTATCAATTTTTAAAAATTTTTTATTTCAAAATTTTTCCGTGGAAAAACTTTCTTTGGCAATTTCTCCTCTTTTCTATTACGGAATGTGCAGTGTACATATAATTAAGCGTTCACAAGCGAAAAATAAACAATTTCTTCGGATTTCTTGCGTGTTAATTTCGCAAGATTCCAAGTACAGGGTGTTCTTTCGGAATTTTTTCCCGCCGGTACTCCTCTTTCCGGTTTCGCGGAGGAATTCCTGCGGCGAACCGCGCAGAAAAAGCCTGGACAAGGTATCCCGAGCTTGTACGACGCTTTTTAACACTTTTCCCGCTGCCGAGACAAGAAGCGTGGCCTCCGGTGAGAAAAAATCGCGCCGCAGAGGCACGAGCTGTTCGACGTGTTCGAGATATTCGGCGGCTTTTTTCTACGTGAAATTTCGTAAGCCGCGTGCACGCAATCTGCCGCAAGAAGAGAGGCCGCAGGGAAAAAAAGGTGCTAATCGCGCGAAACGACGGAAGGTGGTGTGTTTGCTCGACGATTTCGAGCTTATGGCCGAGAGGATGTTACTCCGGCTCCGGCGTAACTGTACTCGAGACGCTAAAAACGCGCTTATTTATTTTTAAATCGCCTGAATTCCAGCGTTAAACGAATCACGAGCAATTTACGAAAAAGAGAGAGAAAATTCGAGGAAAAGAAATTTTTTACGATTCTAAAATATCTAAAAGTTTACGATTAAAGTAAAACTGTGGCCGAACATAATTTTCTTGTGAGATGATTGAGTAAAAATTTCACTGTTTTTGATTTAATATTGCAAATTAAAAATTTAGCGTCTACCTCTCATAAATTGTTTGCTCGCCGAATATTTCCTTACGCTCTTGCACGTTTAAAAAAAAAAATAAAGGAAGAAATGCAATTTTCCAGACGTTCTTCACGGTCTGCACAGACTCGAGGCGAAACAACGAAGCTCTGTAACGTCGAGAATATCAACGACCCGCGTGACACGGTCGAACGGGGTGAGATCACTTCTCTGAAATCCCCCGTTTCGAAACTGGCCGTGAATCATCCGGGAAGCATGCGTTTTCATTCCGGTTACGAAGTTGAAGAGACGTCCCTCTCGTTGCTACCTGTCGAATGGAACCGATAGAAAAGTCGCGCAGAACGTCAAGCAAATTTAATCCTACCCTCCGAAGGAAAGAAGAAAAAAGAAGTAAATTCCGCTTCGAAGGAAGGTATAGTCGACGGAAGAAATGTAGCGAAATTTTGAAATTTGTCGAGCGTCGAAGTTTGCTTGTTTCAACTTGACCATCAAAAAGGAGGAAGAAGAAAGAAAAAATTTCACCTTGAAGAAAGGTATAGTCGACGAAACAAATATAGAGAAATTTTCAAATTGGTCTATTTATCGCGATCAGTATCAATTATACGCGAATTAAACGCGATTAGAACATAGACTTTCTATATTTTAGAATTCTAAAAACCCTTTTTCCTTAGAATTACACAAACGAATCGATAGAAATCTGACAAGGACCTCAAACTTCAATCAGAGTCGCGTGAAATATGCCTTACTTTAAATTCAACTCCAATAAAAAATCCCGACGCTCCAACCTTGACCTCGCAATATTTCTTCGTCCGACTATACACGATCGACGCTGAAAAAACGCGCGCTAATCAGATCAGCGTAGCGTCGGAGGATCGACGCTCGTGAAAATGAATTCTCGAGCGTGCAAAAGATGCGTGAAACACGGGAAATAGCTAGATTTCTCGGGTTAATTGAAACACTTCTATCACCCTCTTTTTATTCTCTTAACTTTGCCGAGAGGGAAAGGATCAACCGGCCACGTATCTCTCGCGTTTGAATTGCGTACACGCGGCCTAATGAAACTAGTTAAACGTAATCACCAAGTGCAACAAAGGGAGTAAGTAATCGTTCGCGTTGCCGTGGCAATGGAAGAAGTGGTTTAACCGAGGAAAACTGGGGAATACTAATTGGCCAGGCGACCACTTTGTGCTGGCTTTTAGAGAAAAAATTCCTTGTCTCTCGTTCCGTGACGACAGGACCCAACCATTATACACTCCGCCTTGCAATTTAAACAAATTTTTCACAAGAATACGCTCTTCACAACTTCGTGCTACGCGAAAAATAAATTTGCCAAGAATTAACCGCAGAAGAAATCCTCCATTGTGTCTCGGAAACGCACGGTAGAATTTTCACTTGAAATGCGAAGTATTTTCACAGACTACAACTTCTCAAGCACCTGTATGATTTAATTTCGTATTAATCTAACGAGACACAAGTGACAAACTTCCCTCAGTCCGTTTCGTACACCCTGTAGATACAATTCACACAGTTGCGCCACGTGTAAACGGCGAGATATCGTTTTAATTTCAGTTTCGTCTCTCCAACTCCTCCGAGAATCACCGAAACGAAGGTGGAAGCGTGAAAAGTCGCGGCGGAGAGTCGGTTCGGTTCGCGACGTTAATGCAACGAGCCATTACAGGAGCAGCACTCATTACCAACGCGACGAACTCATAAAAACGGGACAGTCGATCGATCTTGCGCGAGAAACGAGCGGTTTCGGCTCCCTGATTGCGCGCTAACCCCGCTCCTGCACCTTCCTGGATCGCGTTAATGGATGCGCCACCGTTTCTCTTCACGGAAACGTATTAATTATTTTCGTTGGATTCCGCGCACGAAACCGGGACAGCCCCGTCGACTTTTCTTCCTTTACTGAAAATCGTACGCGGTTAAACACACCGCCGTACGAGAACACCATCTCGTTCGAGATGGGAGAACAACGTTTCTGCAATCTCCGACTGATTTATCGCGTGTTTCACCACTTCTCGATAATCGGTGAATCAGATCGTTGCCCCGTATCAACGAGTCGATTCCCGAGATGAAATTCACCGGGAAATTTTAAAAATCTTCCTTATTAGTCACTTGAGAGATTCTTTTCCTTAAGAATCTCGAGAATCGACGAGATTGCAATCTTCTTTCTGTGGAATCTCGAGGATCGTTTTTACGAGCGAAACAAAGGATTCTGCTCGATATCCAGGAGTGTCTAAATCACCTAATTTCTTCGTCAGAGGATAAGATATTATTGTAGATGGTTCAAGTGGCTAGAAAACCTGGTACGAATCACTCTTTCGTCAAGTGGCGCCGGTCGAAACAATAAAACCTGCATTACTGTCAACGGAACGTGGCATTAAAGCCTGGCGCAATTCACGCGGCGAGCGAGGAGGGGGCAAGCAGACGTCAGAGGCGGAGTGAATCTCTTCTGATTGCAAGCTGCACACACTCGCGCATTTTTCTCCGGGTAGGAAGGCCAATTTCTGAGGCAAAACCGTTCAGGGATACTCGATCAACCGGCTGACGAGAGACAGACGCGAGCACCTGAATCCCTGTGTGGGCACGCCTTTTCAAAGTAACTCCAAAGACGACAGTTTCTGATCTCGGTTCGTACGAGGTTGTCTTTTGCGCCTTCTGAGAATTTTATTGGACCTTTCTTCGGATTACTCCTGTGTCACGGCGTTGAATGCACGAAGAAGTGGGAACTACAAGTTTTTGGGAGGTTCGAAGAGTATTTAGAGATGAATTTTAGAATTTTGTTCAGATCTCGCGAGCTACTCCAAGCCATCGCTGCAAAACACACGAAGTGAACGCTGTGATACTTTTGAAATTTCGAAGATCACTCAGAGATGAATTCTACTGTCTAACGTTTTAGTAAAATTGTTCGAAACTCGCGAGCTATTCAAATCCATCGCTACAAAACACACGAAGTGAACGCTGTGATTCTTTTGAAATTTCGAAGATCACTCAGAGATGAATTCTACTGTCTAACATTTCGTTAAAATTGTTCAGACCTCGCGAGCTACTCGAACCCATCGCTGAAAATTTTAATTTTCACACAGACAGCCGTACGAAAATTCCTCGTGGATAATTAGGTTAAAATTACTGTATTTAGTACGGTTACCACGCCACCGATGACTCAAGTTCAATTTTTCCTCCCAAATATCGCAACAAGTCGTTACCATCTAACGTCTCAATGTTTCCATTGAAATTACTACCTTTAATTGCACCGTTCAATAGAATCGGCACACAGATCGTCCACAGTCCATAGAGTAGGAACGAGGAACAGCCAACTTATCCATGACCCATAACAAACCCCTTTCTCATACCATTTCATGCTTTCACTCGTAATGGTAACACCGGTGTGTACCGTTGCAAAGTATCACAGAGTTGCGAATAATTGCTATGCAGAGCGCAGTTACCCCGGCGTGGATCATCGAGGATCTGCGGAGCGCCGCCTTTCGCCGTGATCATTTTCATCGCTACGGAACAATGTTATCGTGCAAACATTTCGCCGCTATCACTAAGCTCCGCGTAATTACTACGTGTGCCACGGTTAGTTTAACTTGGGTCATCGATAACCTCGCTAGGTTATACAGAAGAAAACGAGAAAAGGTGAGCTGGCGATCGATTGGAGAAACGTTGTTGCGAAACCATTCTGTTCCGTGCGTGATAAGTAAACGTGGAATTCCTTCTTTTTTCTTTTTTCACACAAAGATTTTTCATTCACTCACTTGTTGCCCTTCGTCCTGTGTGTCTCGAACTCTGAAACAGAAAATAGGAAGATGCGGTGTTTTAGTTGACGTACCAAGGGGGAGATTATTAAACGTCGAAGAAGAGTTCGAATGTTTCAGGATATAATGAAAGATCACGCGAGAGGGTTCACTCGCATTTATGACTTTTCTGCACGATACGCAACCGGCCGGTAACTCTGTTTTATTTTTGCCCCGTGCTACATGTGTTTAATGCACGACTCGGTTTTACGCGTTAAGAAACCTCTCATTTCTTACAAAGTGTACGAAAATCAGTAGGTACAGTATTGGTATGTAATTTCGCGTGCCCCGCAGGGATACTTGATGTAAAACACCAGACTCTCGGTAAACCTGACAGGCGTACTTCGAGTGCAAAGGGTTCAGATTCCCCCCTCTGATATTTACCGATAGCGTGCGTCAAGCGTATTTCTCAAATTTATACTACCGATGGTGGAAAAGGAAGCGAACGTGAAAGGACGAGTTGCACTTCGAAACGCTGATTTTGCGACTCTAAGTGTTCCTCTAAATTCTTCGAGGAGAATTCTGAGGATGTTTTTTTTTTTTATAAAGAAACAAGGAGTTGCGCTTGTGAAAGCTAATTTTCTGACTTCGGCGTCTTTCTCAATTTTTTGTTGAGAATTCTGAGGACACTTTTAATAAAAAAAGAAGGAATTACACTTGTAAAAGGTGATTTTGTGACTTGGGTGTTTGTCCAATTCTTTTGAGGAGGATTCCAATGAAGTTTGTTATAAAAAGAGAAGAAATTACACTTGCAAATGCTACTTTCGTGAATTTAGTGTCTTTCCAAATTTTTTTAGGAGGCTTCTGAGGACTTTAATGAAAAAAGAAGAAATTACACTTGTAAAATCTAATTTTGTGACTTGAGTGTCTTTCCAAAAGAGAATTCCAAGGAAATTAAGAAAAAAATACAAGGAATTACACTTGTAAAATCTAATTTTGTGACTTTGGCGTTTCAGCAAATTTTCTGAGGAGAATTCCAAGGAATTTTTAATAAAAAAAGAAGTAAATGCTAATTTTGCAACTTTAATGCATCTCCAAACTTTTCGAGGAGAATTCCAAGGAAATACTTTACACTACTAATGCTAAAAAAAAAAAAACGATTTACGCTTCCAAAATCTGATTTTGCAACTCCAGTGCTTCCCCAAATTTTGTGAGAAAAATTCCAATAAAATTTCTGTTACTCAATACACATTAATACATTTAAAAAATACATTTACATTCCAATTTACCTTGTTCCCACAATTTCTCTTTCGAACAATGCACAAGAGAATTAACAACACCGGAAAAGATATGAAAAATCACTGTTCTCTCGTTTTACAAGAAGGACGTTGATGCACGGAGAGCAGAGTGTTTCGGGCGTAATACACAGATACGATGCAGGAGGATGGCTGGAGGCCAAGGTTAGCATCGAGAGAGCGGGCCCAGGACACACTGAACCGGCGAGCCGAAAATCACCGCGTGGAAGTGTGAACGAACGTTGAAAAACGAGCGACAGACCCGCCTCCCTTCCGCTTTTCATCGCGCGCGCAGCTCACGTGCGACGTCCCCGGCCCGCGACATTTCCTGTTTCCTTCCTCGCCGCGTGACCCGTCTACGCCAACCGGAAAATCCACGAAACCCACGCCAACAGATAGGCGCCTATGTGTATTATTCACGATAGCCGCCGCGATGCGTCGTTTTGTTCGCTGATAGCGTGCATAATGGATACGAGTTATCTCTGGAGCAGATCTTCGAGATAAACTTCTATTCGAGCGCAGGAAATATTTAGGTGTAACAGAATCTTTTTTTTACCGCTGGATTTAGGCGTTTGAAATTTGGAAAGTTTGATGGAATGTTGATAATTTGGGCGATTGGGGTTAATAAGTGTGGGATTTTATTGTCCCTTTAAATTTTGCGAGGAAAGTTTTGCCATACGACTGGTATTTGAATGTGAAGAGAGATAAACACGTGGTCATGAGTGACAAAGGACAACTAGACGTATCACCCAGAAGCAAACCGGCAAAAATCGCCTCTAATACAAAATTAGCAATGGGAGACGAAAAGCGAAAGAAACTGATATTAGAGAAAAAGAAGAACAAGGTTAGTTTGAACAATGAAGCATCAAAATTCGACCTAATAATAGTGAAAATGAATGAGATGAGCACAGAAATAAAAGAAATGAAAGAAGTAATGGAAATAAAAATGAGACTTGAAACGAAAGAGGAAAAGTGGGAAATAGGAAAAGAGAAATTAGAAAGGAGAATAATAGATTTAGAAAGAATGGACGAATACAGATGTAAACAAGAAAGAAGAAACAGCTTAATGATAAAAGGACTAAAAATAAAAAACAGCCTAGAAGATGAGGTTTCAGCTTTGTTAAAAAATAGTCTAGAGATAGATGTAGAAATAAAATCATTAACACTACTAAACAACAACAAAAAAAAAGGAAAATGCAGATATTTGAATGTGAAGATAGAAATATTGGAGATACTGAAAGTTGAAATGTGAAAGTATTAAAAATTGAAATATGAGTATATTAAGAATTGAAAGATAAAAATATAAAAAATATTGAAGTATGAAAGTATTAAAAATTGAAATGCGAAAATATTATAAATATGAAACAGAGTAATTCAAAGGTGGTCAAATGGACACTGGAATTTTCGCGAAATAAATTGCACAAAATCGTACTCAAAAAGTAGTAAAATTCAGCAAAGATTGCACTGATATTTGCCTTACTTCTGGAATGCACAGCAACGTGCAATATTTACACTATAAAAATCATATCGAAAATTTTCTAAACATCTCCATTTGTTCGATCAAACCACGATGAAACTACACGCGACTGGTCGCGCCGAGAAAGATAATATCTCGGAATTATTAAATTGTTAAGCTCGTGACAGCTTTTACCACTGTTCCTCAACCACGAAAGTATCTATTTCCAGACAGTGCTTCCTCTATAAATCGACTAAGGCATTTCATCGAGTGACGCATCGCGGCAGCGTTGAATCAGCCGCGCAAAAAGCGCGTCGAAACCGCGTTGCAGCGACGCTGCTCGTAGGCGACGCGACGCGTGAACGCGAGCGGAAAAGGAGTGACACTTTCCAAGTGTCTGGGAAGAGACGATAGACCAGCCCGGGATAGGATCGTGTTCTCCCTGCAAACTGGCGAATTATTCAAAAGATATTCGAGAGATCGGTCCCTTGCAGGGAAGAATGTCCCTCGACTTGCTCGTAACGCGACATTTTTTCATCGTTGCTAACGCCGTTTGTAAAACCATTAGAAACGTAAACGAGCAAATCACCCGTGTACGGCGACGATAATCGTTAGGGTTTAGAAAAATCGTTCCTGGAAAATGAACGTCCGTCGTTCCTCTCGTGTTTTCCCGTGGACGGTGCTTCGTGGAATACGGAGAAATTCGTTTCTGCGATTGGAAGAAGCTTTAGGTGGAATTGTTAGTCGGTGTTTTGAAGAATTTGCAGTTTCTTGAATTGTTGGGAGTGGAGAAATTAAATTTTTGATGGGAAGATATTTTATGTGGAATTGTTTCTTAATTTTTTTGGAGAATTTGGAGGTTTATGAGTTATTGAGAATGGAGAGATTCATTTTTTAGAGAATTTGCAACTTTTGGAATCGCTAAGAATCGAGGAATTAATTTCTGCGATTGAAAGATATTTTACGTGGAATTTTTACTTAATTTTTTTTAGAAAATTTGGAAGCTTTTGAGTCACTGAGAATCGAGAAATTAATTTCTTAGAGAATTTGCAACTCTTCGAGAGATTAATTTTTGCGATTGCAAGACACTTTGCATAGAATTCTCCTTCAATTTTTTAGAGAATTTGCAACTCTGAGTCACTAAAAATGGAAAAATTAATATTTTAGAGAATTCGCGAATTTTTCAGTCACTGAGAATCGAGAGATTAATTTTTTACAGAATTTTCAACTCTGAGTCGCTAAAAATCAAGAAATTAATTTTTTTAGAGAATTTGCAACTCTTGGAATCACTAAGAATCCAGAGATTAACTTTTGCGATTGAAAGACACATTGCACAGAATTCCCATTGAATTTTCCAAAAATTCGTAACTCGTCGAATCACGAAAAATCCAAGAATTAATTTCTCCGTCCTTCCTAAATAAATCTTCGCACAACACTCCTCCGACACTTATCCTTCATCCGCGAAGAATAAAAAAAATTTGCCAACAGCAAAACGAGAGAAAAATCGTCGCGAACGTTCCGCAAAACAGAGTAAAAAGAAAGAAAAAAAGGTCTGGAAGGTTGGACACATGATAAGAGGGAGGTGTGACGATGAAATATTAAGGGGCGTTAAAATTATAGGGCGTTCAGGAACGAATTCATCGCGGCGCGATTCGAGGTACAGAGCCGCGGTTGCGACAGGGTCTCTCTGGTGTTTACCCTGCAAACCAGAAAATTATTCAAACGAGACCTCTCCGCCTCCCTTTCAAAGCTGTGGTTGCAGCGTCGATTAATTAAACGACAAGTGGTGTTTCGTAAACGATCATGGTCGCGCGTGAAATATTTTCGTGATGGATATAAACCGCGGAAGAAAGAAGAGGGGGGAAAAAAGAAGAAAAAAGGGAAAACGAGAACGCCAAGAGAAACGGGGGGAAAAAGGAAGGGAAAAGTGAAAAAGAACACGCGATCATATTAACGTGGAATCGCACGTGATCATTATCTAGACGCCCGTAAAGGATCGCTGTGTAATGGCTCGCTACGAAACGATTTATTGCGTGTAATTGCGAGAAGGTGGCACTTTAACGCCGGTTTACAACGACCCGGTACCGCTTACCCGCGAAATACGAACGACCGGCGACAATAAACGAACGGATTCTAGGTGGAAATGGGTAGTTGAGGTTGTTTTGTGAACCGGCCCTAAAAACAGCCATTCTCGATTATACGCGTCCTAAATCGATAAAGGAGAAGCGGTGAATCGTTGGACGACAATGAGAGTGATGGAGCAGTAAAAAAAAAATTGAGAACCAGCCCTAAGGATGTCAC